GAACGTCATATCTCCACGCGGAGCTATGTCGTTTTGGAGCGTCATATATCCGCGCGGAGTTATGTCGTTTTGGAACGTCATATCTCCGCAGGGAGTTATGTCGTTTTGGAACGTCATATCTCCGCGCGGAGCTATGTTGTTTTGTAGCGTCATATCTCCGCGTGGAGCTATGTCGTTTTGGAACATCATATCTCCGCGCGGATCTATTTATTTATTTTATTTATTAATGGTCGACAAAACGCGTGTCTTCCTCAGTATTCAAAAGATTGTTCAATAGAATTATATGCTAAAAGCCTAGTGGGGGAAAATTTTTCAGCCTGTCCGGCAAGCTATGCCCCTGCTCATAGCTGGGAATGGTCAGCGACTTCCCGAAGGTATCCTGAAAGCAGAGATTTTATTAGGGGTAGAGACAGTTCGGTAGAGAAAACGTGATGCAAACTATTATAATTTTTAATAGCACGCGAAAAGAATTGTGCATAGCGTAATCTGTTGTGCACGTAGATACTTAGTAATAAGGGGCGATAATTTCTGGTTGGTCTAGCCGGAACAAAGAATTGAAGACGCCCTAGCAGAAAAGGAGAATCTATGTCGCCAATAATCAACTTATGTAGAAGGACAACACCGAGAATTGTCCTACGGTTGGTTAACGACGGAAGGTTGAGAAGAAGCAGTCTGCTGGAGTAGGACGGCAACCGAAGATTAGGGTCCCAATTTAAACCTCGTAAGGCAAAAAGCAGAAATTGCTTCTGAACAGATTCAATACGATCCTGGCTGTTGATATACTGTGGAGACCAGATGCAAGAGCAGTATTCAAGGATATGGCGAACAAGAGATGTATATATGTATGTATATATGTATGTTTATATGTTTGTATGTATGTATGTATGTATGTATGTATGTATGTGCATGTGGATGTTATTGTATGAAAAATGCAGACTAAGAACATCGCGCTGTAAGAAAAATGTAGAAAAAATTGTTACTTCTATTTTTTGTTTATTCCTTAATATATTTTACATAAGTGATGCCAGTGTGTATATATGTATAAAAGACTCCATTAACTTAGTTACATGAGCTGCACACATTTCGTGCGGAACCACTATTTATTTACATTACTTCTGTCATCTAAGCTCAAGCAGTATACGAGCCAGATTTTAAAAATTTTTCGAGCATTACTTAAAATTTCAATTAGGTTCAGTTGCTCAACGCGTTTGCGTTGGTCCAGGGTTATAATTATAGAATGTACCAGATTCCAATTTGTTCGATTTGTGCCAGACACGTTTGCCTTGATGTGGATCGTACCCACCCCCGAATGTGCCGCCATCGTAACCACCTTTCAGTCTGCCCTTGGTCTTCTTCTCCGTTTTGGGTTTGTTGATCATCTTCGGTGGCTTTGGCTCCCGATGGACAAAGCCCTTTCCCATGATCCAGGGGAATCTGGCTTTCCGTTCACCGATCACACATCCACCGTACTGCACTAGGGCGCTGGCCGGATGTGGATACTGGGTGGGCATAGCCCAGTCATTTTCATTGTACTGGGTCTCGCAGTTAACCCGATCGGGCTTTCGGCGGCGTTCCGGCTTAACAACACCCGCCGGGGGTGTGACTCCAAACTCCAACTCATTATCACTGTCGCTCTCGCTGAGATCCGAGTAGACGAAGATGTCGCTAACGTCCCGCCAACCGCGATCCTCACTCAGCAGCTTAACTTCCTGTGCGACGATCTTTTGGTCAACGTGACTGCGACAGAAACAACTGGCTACCGGCTGATGGCAGCTGCACACGGGATAACCCTTTTCTTTGAGACTGATCTTTATGTTGCGCATGCCCGTGGCAATCGGATCCTTGATGATGCGAAAGACAACCGGCTTCATGTTCGCATACGGATTGGCGTCCACGGCCAGACTCTTGGCATCCTTAAGCGGACGCAGTGTGATGGTGTATTCGTCGTATTTCTTGGTTATGTGCAGTGTCGGATGCTGAATCAGGGGTTCCTCTTCAACGGGCTGGTCGGGGCTCTGGCGGCGACGGCGATAATGAAACCGTGAATTGCCAATCTTGTCCGCTGGATAGTCTCGCAGAAAATAGGCCATTAGCTGGCGTATGGACTTTTTGATGGCGCCAGGTTTCCAGCATCTATGACGTGCCAGCTCGCTCTCGGTCCACATCCACCCCATGTGACAGGGCACCCGGCCACTGCCGCGTGAGCAGGTATGGTGCGTGGAGGGCTGCCGCGAGTTGTCCTTACGTACTAGGAACGTATAGCTAGTTGGCGAGGATTGATAAGGTCGGATGAGTGTAGATTGAATGGTTCAACTGACTCACCGCTTAGATTTGGTGCGACGCTTGGCTTTTTTAACACATTTCGGTTTCCTTTTCTTGAGCGAATATGTTGTCTTGAGATCCTTGAGTGCACATCTCATAGCAGTTGATTGGCGGCGACGACCCTTTTTTTTGGCCTTGCTTGCGATTGCTTCGCAATCCTTTAACAGTTTCTCAGTCAACTGCTTGGGGGTCTTTTTGTCGCTGTAAGCATCATGCATGTCTGTAAAGATTTTAACCAGCTGATTGCGCCGCTGCGACGGCGTTGAAGCCGTCTTCTTTAGCGTCCGGACCTGCTCCTGCGATTGGGACTGCGGCTGCGACTTGACCTTTGTGGTGCTGCTTTTGCTGAGCATCTGATCGCACAACTCCTGGATGCGGCAACGCGTGCAGACGCGACTCGACCTGCAGGTGCAGTCCTTGGAGCTCTTTGGTATGCTGTCGTAGCTGTTATGCTTCCGCTGACTGTTCTCCTCGCTGCCCAGCCGAGCTCTGAGCATATGATTGCGCAGGACCTCCGCTGCGGTGGCCGACTCATCGAACGGCTCCTCGCTGGGCTTGTCCATCTCAAAGCGTTTGTAGCCGCAATACGGGCAGGCGGCCACCTTAGGCAACCAGGTGATATTTGCATGGCACACGGGGCAGAGCAGCGGGGGCGTATACTTGGTGGTCATCAATTCCGGTTGCTTGATGACTGGACAGACCCCCAGCGTGTGTTTCCGTGCTACCTCCAGCGTTTTCAGCTGCTCAGGTGTGAAGGCCGATTCAAATATGGATGGCGGTTGCTTCTGTTGGTCATCCCATTCCGAGAGCCAGCCATCACTGGAGTTAAATGTGCCGCTGTCGCTGCTAGAGGGATATTTCGGACATTTGCAGCGCCTGGAACGATCGTGACCAGACGGCGGCGTGGGCACACGCACCTTATCAATATCCAAATCGATCAGCAGCTTTTTCAGTAGCTTACGCTCGCGGTCCTTGGTCGGATCGAGCTCGGGCGGTGGCTTTACGCCACGCACAACACAACCACATTCCTCGCCAGCTGGCTGGCTCTTCTTGTGCATGCAGCTAAAGGGTGCGCCGGCATGCGTCATAAGACGCTCGTCGGTGATGCAAGAAGTCGCCGCGCATCTGCCGGAGCGACCCAGCGTGAAGATGACGTCCCGCGGATTGACAGACTTATCCAGCGGCCGGCAGACATCGTAACAACCAAAGGGGAGCAATCTGGTGCTAAAAGACAACACCATTTAAATCTGTAAGAGAGCTCTAGTCGGATGTATCCGTCTAGGAGACACCGTATAGCATCGAGATGCCTTTACGAACATTCTAGCTATATTTTGGTAACAAAAAGGAATTCGAACGTGTCTTCATGCTAAAGCGCAGCCTGTCTTTAAAAATTGAGAAATTGGGCTTTAGCTGTTATAGCTTCCGTTTTATGTTTAGAAGACCAATTCTAGAAACCGATTTGATCTTTACAACTGAAATGGGGAATATAACAGAAAATGAAAAACATGTTCTGTCATGCCATACAGACAAACAGACGGGCAAGATTAAGTGGATTCAGCCTAAATCTCAGTGCAATTCATGCACATTTATTTTCTGTTACTACTTACTCCAGATCCGGATCGGTAGAGCTGAACTTGATGTTAATGTCTACGGTAGCTACGCGCTTCTTGTTCTTCTGCAACTCGACGCTGATAACCTCATTCACCGAGAATGTGGGATCCGCCAGCTGGCGCAGCACTGGAGGCGAAAGCCTGCAGTTGCCACAGCCGTACATCTGCTCACCCTCGCACATGGTCACGCAGATGCCCTTGGTGGTCAGTGAACCAACTAGCTCACAGGGACTGGCCACGAACTCGCCCAGCGCCTTTAAGGGAAAGCATTGGATAAACAGTCGGTTCTGTGGCAGGTCAACAAATTCGTTAAACAGTCGAACGCTGTAGGTGAATGGGTTCTCCTCCCCTTCGCGTGGGCGTCGACTAGAATTCAGCAAAATAATATCGAACGAATAGGACTGCTTTAGTGGTTCCATAATTATCAACTATATGTGCATATATGCATATGCATTCAAAATAATGCTTCAATTGGTTTTCGTTTTTGATTGGTGTTCGGCTAATTGACAATTTGTCCGCAATTTGGCAATCTCGCAATTTGTGTTTACAATTTGGTAAAATATTTAGAAAATTTTCATTCATGTAAAATTTTTGTTTAGAAAAACCGATGTTGTTAAATAAATAAAATGGAATGAATAATAAAATTAACTTGATATGATACAACTGTCTGTATTTTAGAGAGCTTGCTGGGTTTAAGAAAAACAAAAAGCTTCCTTTTTTTGGATATTAAATAAACTGCATTTATCTTTAATGTAGTGTGCTTTCAATCTTTTCACCCGCGACTATGGAAATTTGGCCTATCATCAGTTTCAACCTAATTTTCAAAATTCATTATCTGAACTTATTTGACACGCCTTCGCAAACTTGGCCGCTATTGAGTCGAAAATGCGGGTCTATAAAAGTATGTTTTTTATTCGGCCGCGAGATTCTTACCACACATACACGATGCATATTCAACATATTTTAAAATCGAAGTGGGCGTTTATTTAGTGGAAAGTTAATATCTACAAAAATTCCACGGGCAAGGCCGGGTAATACCCGCTAGTGTATCTATATGTTGGCAAGGTGTTAAGTAATCGTTGTTTTAAGAATTTATTTCGAGGTCTTAGCGTCCAAAATTAAAAATATAATGAGTGTAATTCCAAAAATCCTATGATAAATACTCGATCAATAATCAATGCCAAGATGTGAGTAAAGTATAGCTTGTTAACGGTTAAACCGAAACAGCGTCTTTTGAGAACAAGAAATTTAGAATTACATTCGATTACAATCATCCCGAGCCATCAGGTTTCTTTTGCGTTTCTCGAAGTCATCAACAACAGTTCTTTTAAAGTTATTCGTAATGCCATTGATCTCTTTATCGATCAAGTTCTTTTTTTTTATTTGTTTTGGCGGGGCTCCCTCTGGCTTGAGGCGCCCCCTTCTCAGCAATAAGTCGATGACTATCTATAGAGTTCTGGCCGCCGTTCATATTCCAGTTGTCACGGACACATATTTGCTGCTTGTGTTCCTCATCCCATTCCGACACTTGTAACGCCTGGAAAGCTCGTGCTCACACGAGCTAGGTACACACAGCTTGTCATTCTTCAGATGGATAAGGAGCTTCTCTAGCAGCTTACAATCGCGTCCTTTGATCTGATCGACCTCTGGCACAACCACATTCCCTGCCAGTCGGCTGGCTCTTTTTATGAATGCAGCTAAAGGGTGCGCCGACATGCGTCATAAAACGCTCATCGATGATGCAGGAAGTCGCCGGGCATTTTTCTGAGCGTCCCAGTGTGAAGATGAAGTCACGCGGATTTATGGACTTGTCCAACGGACGGCAGAAATCGTAACACCCAACGGGCAACATTTGGCTGCTAAAAGAGAATCCCATATAAAAGAATAAGAGTACTTTAGTCGGGAGAACCCATCAAAGAGATACCCTGAACCCCGCGTCGACTTTATTTTTGATGCTCTAATAATAATTTTGATGCATGTTAATAATAAAGCGCAAGAAGAACTTAGCTTTAAAAATGGAGAATTTAAGAAAGATACCCAGCAAAAAAATACCACATTTTCCTTCTGCATATGGTATTTTTGAGTTCTGAAATATATATTTTTATGGGGTCGGAGATGCCTCCTTCTACTTGGCAGAACAACATTATACTCTTTTTGGCAGCAGCTACTTACTCTAGATCCGGATCAGCAGAGCTGAACTTAATATTAAGTTCTAATTGAGCTATGTGCGTTTTGTCTTTCTGCAAGTCGACACTCAGAACCTCATTCACCGGGAATGTGGAATGCGCTAGCTGGCGCAGCATTTGCGTCGATGGCTTGCAATTGCCACAGCCGAATATCTGGCCATGCTCGTACACGTTCACGCGGATGCCCTCGGTGGTCAGTGCACCAATTAGTTCGCAGGGACTGGCGACGAACTTGCCCAGCGCCTTTAAGGGAAAGCATTGGGCAAACAGACGATTCTCAGGCAGTTCGACAAATTCCCCTAATAGGCGGACGCTGTAGGTGAATGGGTTCTCCTCCCCTTCGAGTGGGCGTCGACTTGATTTTAGCAGAATAACATCGAACGAGTAAGATAGCTTAAGTGGTACCATTATTATCAATTATATGCCTTAATATGAGTTTCGTCAATTGGTTTTGGTTTTTGATTAGGTTTTCGGCTAATCGGCAATATGTATGCAATTTGGCAATGTTTGTTTATAATTTGGTAAAATATTTAGAACATTTTCATTCATGTTAAATTTGAAATTGATCTGTTGCTAAATAGAAATTAAACGAACTGAATGATAACAATAACTGGATACTAAACAACTGCCTCTGTTCTGGAGAGCTTACTAAGTTTAATAAAACACATTTGAGGGTACACACGACTAATATACCCTGCACCTTCAACTGCCAATATATATTTACCTATTTAATGGGCAAAGGGCAAAATAAGTTTTAAAAAAATATTAATAAACAAAAGTTTCGCTCAATTCTAATCAGATTGAAAAGTTGGACAATATACGTAGCTCTGAAAATACCTAAGAGATATACCAAAAAAAAAAACAAAAATGTTTACTCGATTTCTATCGAATGCCTGAAAATGGGCTGTTGAACGGGAGGGCCTACGTTTAAAATTTGAAGGTCTTCACGGCGATGGACGTAATATATGTAGTTGATTGGAGAATGGATTTGGCCTGAATCAGGAAAATCCGTCTAATAGAAGCGTCCGTTAAGATATTTGACTGTATATACTTTATGAAGTCTGACACACTTCCTTTCGCAAGTCACGGCTAAATTACCCTTTTTTAATATTTCGGTATAGCATATACGTATTTAGTGACAAAGTAATAATGCCCTTCGCAAGAGTATGAACAAACCGAATGTCTTTATCAAAGTTCAAGAGAAAGCAAACAAAGTCTAAAGCTAATCTAATGCTGGTGCTCATATATGTATGCAGAGTGATAAGTAATCGTATTATTTTTTTAACATTTATTTTGAGGTCTTAGCGTCCAAATTTAAAAATATGAGTGTAATTCAAATAATCCTAAGATAGATACTCGAAATGTGTGTGATCTATGCCAAGGTGTGAATAAATTATGAATTGTTAGCGTTTAAAAGGAAACATCGACTTTTGAGAACAAGGAATTTTGAATTACATTCGATTATAATCATCCAGCGCCATCAGGTTTCTCGAAGCGATTGACAACAGTTCTTTGAAGTTATGCGTAATGCATAATTAATCGAATAAGTTTGGTTTTTTGTTGTTTTTTTTTTACGACTTTTGTTTTTGTGGGGGCAGTTTGCGAGCTGCTGCAAGTGCGGTCCAGGCCGCATTTACTTGCGGGCGTTGATGATGTCTACAAACTCTGGCTTCAGGGATGCGCCGCCTACGAGGAAACCATCAATGTCGGGCTTCTTGGCCAGCTCCTTGGCATTGGCACCCGTCACAGAGCCGCCGTACTGTATGCGCAGACTGGCAGACACCTCCTTGGAGACGTTTTCCTCCAGCCACTTCCTGAGATAGGCGTGCACCTCTTGGGCCTGTTGAATGATAGATGAAATGAGCTCTTAATTCTTGACGGGAAGTGGGTAGCATTTGGTACTCACCTGTTCGGGCGTGGCTGTCTTGCCGGTGCCAATGGCCCAGACTGGCTCGTAGGCCACCACCACGTTGGTCCAGTCTCTGATCTTTTTGGCATAGGCGCACATCTGGCGTGCAACCACATCGTTGGTTTTGCCCGCCTCGCGCTCCTCCAGTGTCTCGCCAATGCAGGCAATTATCTTAAGGCCCTCGGCAAGGGCGTGCTCCGCCTTCTCGGCAATCAGCTCGTCCGTCTCCTTGAAGATGGCACGACGCTCTGAGTGGCCCAAGATAACCCATTCGGCGCCAATGTCCTTCAACATGGCTGGTGAAATCTCACCGGTGAAGGCGCCCTTGGCGACCTTGTAGGCATTCTGGCCGGCGACACCAATGTTGCAGGGCAGCAGATTGCGGGCGTACATCAGATAAATGGCCGGGCAGCCGATGACCACCTCCGTATTGGCATCCAGGGCGGCATCGCTGAGAACCTTACAGATCTCGGCAATGGACTTCTGGTCGCCGTTCATCTTCCAGTTGCCACCCACACAAAATCTACGGTTTGCCATGTTCTTAACGGAGTCTGCACTGAAATTCGCGTAAAGCTGCACGCCGGAGTGTGGAAAAAACCAAACATTAATTTAGCTGCTACAAATTGATAATTTTGTTAACTAAATGCAAAATTTTGATTGATAAATCGCCGTAAAAAATGATTTATTTGCTTTAATTTTGGTTTTACTTGGCCTAAACACACCCACCTCGAACGTAATGAAACGATGTACTAACCTTCTTCTGACCTTCATACGTCTTCCATTGGCACTTGAAAAGCTTAGGAAAAACAGCTGTGAATTTGCCCAAAAGAGCTTGCGAGACAACGCTCTTTAGTGCGTCAAGCGTTAGGTCTGTTGCGCTCTGGTTCATGTCCATGATGGTTTGTTTCTGAGCTAATGTATCGCTTACCGAGCCGTAATGGTATATTTCCTTGTTATATATTCGCTGGCGGCGCTGCTGTTTGCATAATCCGGCAAAAACCTTTTTATTTATTAATATCATGGTGTATACAGTAAATTTTAGAATCTAATGCTAGGTTTTGTTGTTGTGTTAACATTTGGAGAACGTTTTGTGCTACGCTTGCTCTGGGCACCTCTTATATAAGTAGAAGACTACCTAGCTGAGACACACACCGACGCAAAGCTTTTTGCCGGCATTTTCTTATCGGAATGCATCAGCTGTTACAGGTAATATATGCGAGCTTTTAAAGCATCTTGAAATTTATTAAAAAACGGCAAAATAATATTTTATTTTCATATATTATTTAATATTTGACGATACCTTTTAAGCAGAATTTTAATTATGAGAGTGTTGCATTAAATTCAATAAGCTTTCTTTCGCTTATTGGAATGCCACAGCTGTGCCAGGTATATTGCCAAGCTTTTCAGCCGCAATATCTTAAAAAATGTCAAAAATAAAAAGACCACTACGTGCTTTCATGTAGGAATTTTTGGTATTTCATATTTTATTTGATCTTCAACTATACATTTTAATATACACATCAATTTTGATTTTCACAGACGGTCCAAGTATACTTAGTTAAACACACATGCATATTTACGATGGTCTATATATATGTCACATCAAAAGATATCTAAGTAATGTAATACTTATATACTTTTATATACTTATATATAGAAAAAACACGAGTATGCACAATACGGTAATTTACTTAAATTGACTTTAAGTTTACTTGCAAACAATTAACTAACTAATACAAGATAATTATATCAAAAAATAAATGCGCATAATTTACTAAATCGAACTGGAACTGTTGGATTCCAACTGGAACTGATTCGTTCAGTTTCCAGCTGTTCCAAGCTTTGATCTATGACTCGTTTTGAACGCGAGAGCTAAAGACTAATACTAAAAGCTTTGACTTGCGAGTATTTGCCTAGAGTTTGCCTGCCGCCTGAGGAGCTTTGACCGTTGGTCAACTCTCCACGCTGGCAGCGACTAGGGACGAGGACGACGAGGCCGATGTTGAGGTCAAGGCCCCGGCGGTTAGTCGTGAAACGGTAGCAGGTGCAGGCCCAACACCTGGTCCAGGTCCTGGCCGTGGTCCAGGCGCAATGCTCAACGTCGTCGACGCTGGGGCCGTCGTTGTGTGCGGTTGGAAGAGATTAAAGAGATTGGAATGCTGCATGAAGCTGCCTACCGTCTTTAGGGGACTGAAGAAGTTGTCGTGGTTCTGCTGCTGCAGCTGCTCCGAGTGCCTATTGCTGAGATTATTGTTATGATGGGCGGTGGTTGAAGCGGTTGTCTCGCCAGGACTCGCCAGTTTTTGTTCGTTGGTGCAAGTGCAGGATCGACTCTTCTTGCGTGAGTTTCTCGTTAGCGCCGTCGACTTACGGTATTTGGGCTTGTGACCCGGCGATAGCGGATTCGTGGCGCCATCGATAACATAGACTGTGCCGGTGGCGGCACCTGTGCTGGGCAGGGGCAGGCAGTGATCGCTACTCGAGTTGCCGGCGAGCAGCTTGGCGCGCAACTGCTGCGGCAGTGCGCCATTGCTGGGAGAGGTGCGCGTGGAGCAGGGTCTACTGTGCTCCAGCTTTGACGGCAGCCCGTAGTCAGCGCTGGTGGGATCCTGCAGCGCGTGCTGCTGGCTGTAGTAGTCGGTGTCATCGGAGCGCAGCTTCTCACGCATGACACAGGCCAGGCTGCGGCGAAGCTCCACTGGATCGACGCCCTGGTAGTTGCTATTTACGCTTGGCGGCACAAACACATCCTCGTACTCGTCTAGATCGTCGGGCAGACTGATGCCATCCTCGGGCCCGGTCGAATAATTTTGGTTCTCATACGAGTAGGCGCTATCGCAGCGCTGCTGCTGTGCTGCTTGCTGCGCTGCTGACTGTGCCGTTGCTGGCGCCGATACAGAAAGGCTGCTATCATGATCGCTCTCCTGCTTGACACTGGGAAACTCATAGCTGGTCTCGCCCAGCTCCGCACCGCTGGAGGCCTCCACAATGTTCCACATGTCGCGCTCAATGTCCGTGGAGACGGCGACGGCAGCGGCCACCGTTTGGTTGATGTTGTTCACACAGGGACTGAGCACGCCGCATTTGGGCAGCAGCTGTGAGTTCTTGAGCGCCTCCTGCTGCTGCCGCAGCCAAATGGGCGAGTCTGTGGGGAAGCAGAGGAGGATCATTAGCCGCCACTCGGTGCGTATTAAAGTAGACGACGCGCACTCACACTCACCCACATACATGCGCGGCTGCGTGGTGCGCATGGTGGAGTCCATGGACTGCAAACGATGCTGGCTGGCCAGCGAGAATCGATGTATAGCCTCTGCCTGCTGATCGATATCGACGCCCATCAGCTTAAGCATTAAGTTCTTTAACGCCAGCCGAAAGTCCTTCAGATGATAGGCATAGAGCAAAGGATTGACAGCCGAGTTCAGGTGGGAGAGTATGATACAGAAGAGCGTCAATTTGGGATGCACATAGCAGTCCGGGCAGAAGGCCTTAATGCAGTTGATCGTGTACAGCGGTATCCAGCAAATCATAAAAAACAGCACAATGATGGACAGATTCTGTGTGGCCTTCACATCCCGCTTACGCGCAGCGCCCAGTACGCGCAGCATGGTTCCCGTGTGGCCGCCACGCTGGGCGCCGGGCGTTGTCACTTGCATCTGGGCGGTGGAGGAACGTCGGCTCAAGTCCGAGGCAGGATTCATGGTTACGATCTGGCGCACCTGCAATGCATACGCAAAGGATTTGAGAAACTTCCGCAACTGGCCTTAGCAGCTGGACCCACCTGTTTGATGATCACCCGATAGATGTGCGTGTAGAAGGCCAGCATGAGCAGAGCCGGAGTGATGATGGTGGCAAAGTAGAGAAACACCAGATAGTTATAGTCCATTACCTCTACGAACAGGCACTCCTGATCGTGTGGCACGTTCGCATGCCAGCCAAAGAGTGGCAGGAAGCCCACTATGGCGCCGGCCACCCAGCACACGGATATGATGACTGCAAAAGGATGCACTGGATTAGCAAACAGCAGAAGAGATAGAGAGAGCCGAAGCCCCACGCAAGTCCTTGAATGCCTGACGTCATCGCACCACAATGACTCAACTGTCCAACGGCAAAATGTTAATGAGACTTTGAAATGTGTTGCACATCAGTCCGACTCCGGCTCCGGCTCTGTCTATAACTATATCTCTATCTCTATCTGTGCCTCTGTTTTTGGGTCCTGCCTGGGATATTGTTTGGCTTTGCTGCACTCATTTCAATCCAGACAGTACATTGAACTGCATGCACTTAGCCAAATGACGCACACGCCATGTAACCCAAAAGAAAACTCCTTATAGCTTACCCAACGCTAAGCACATACGTAGTTACAAGCAATTAGTTCACTTGACAGTATGTCAATAGAGAACATTTCGTTTTTCTTTTCTAATTTTGTTTTGTTAGTCCTGACCCTTGGCTCTAAACTCGTTAAACGTAAGAGTGTTAAATTAATATCCAAAAAGTGAGCATGGAGGCCGCGTAGCATCATTCCCTATTACATTAATCCCAACATTGTGATATTTGTTGTTTCAAATTTTTATAAGCAATAAACACATCCTCCATGTTTATTCATTTCATATACAATTTATTTAATCTTTCATTATTGCACCATAAGCCATAACAGATTAAATCTCAACGAATTCCAAGTGATATATCTTTTGTCTAAGCAGTTCTCCATGTTCACTTTTTAATGTTTAACCATCTTAAGCTTTTATAAACTTCAGAATAACATTAAATTCCTACATTATTTAAGTGCTCAATAGCTGACTGTTTGATTTGCTCGGCAATACGTCTTTGTCCTCCATGCTTACTTGATTCCTTTTCCAATTAATTGCCATTGACTCCTTCGTGGTTGTTAAACTAGTTAATTCTATAAATCACACTTCTGCAAACAAACTAATTTTATTTCATCATGTAGTCACCTAATTTTTCTTGCTAATCGTGTCTTAATTGTTTTAATTACTCTATTACAATATTCTCCTACTACTATCTTAGTACTCTCTACTTCTTCAATATAAAACTTTTGGCTCCGCTTTGTTCCTCAGTAGTACAGTACTAAGCTTGTACTTATTGTACTCCATTGTCACTTGAATTGCTGTTAAACTAGCATGTCCTCCCTTATCTAAGCTATTCTTGATCGCTTTAGACTTCTCTCTATTACAAAGTAGAACTTAGGCGCTAAGCATGGTCACTTAAAATCTTTTATTGATTTCTGCTCCTTTATGTTCACTTTAACTCTCCATGTTTTGCTCGCTATTTATTCTATGCGTATTACATTAACAGCAGCTTTAATTGCTTTAGCAGACGGTTGAATGCCATTGTTACATAACATAATAGTCTCTGGCATTTTGCTTCTCTCAGTTCACATAAAACGCTGTCAAACTAGCTGATGAACCAATACATTTTTTTAAGAGATAAGTTTCTTGCAGGGCATTTTTTGCTCTCATTTCGTTGCTTTTGTTCTATGAAATTCCTGCCTTGCCACAAAGCTGCAACTCAAACTCGGCCAACTGGCAGCCGGAACAATATGGACTATTCTGATTTGTTGGCCATTATTGCGGGCTTTGTTGCCACAAAGCACAATACAATGCAACGAGAGAGCTAGTAAATATGGACGCATCCTCACGTCGCCCCTTCCTCATCCAGACTTACCGATTGCAGTGCGGGTGCGCACATTGCGGGAATAGGCCATCGGATAGAGTATGGCCCAGTAGCGATCCACGGATACGGCAACCAGACAGAATATGGATATGGTGCATAGGACCACCAGCAGCGATACGGTGAAGAGGCAGGCGTGCAGGTTCTTGGGCAGACCAACCGATGCCAGTATGGCAAATGGCACGCCCAGGGAGCCAACCAGAAAGTCGGCCATGGCCAGCGAGACGATGTAGTAGTTAGTACGACGGCGCAGCTTCCGTTCGCGCCGGAACACAATGATCACCATCAGATTGCCAATGATGCTGACAATGGCTACCAGCACCTCGAACACGGTATATGGAATGTTCAGCTCGATCTCTGTCTCCTCCTTCAACTGGGTACTGGCATCTGCAGAATACGGCGATATTGGCAGATTTATCAAATTCTGCGAGCCCTTCGAGGTGAAAGCAAAGTCGGAGTATGAAAAGAACCGAAACTCGGACATGTTTGCAGAGGCCCAATAGGATGTGCGCGCGCACTCGTCAGTTGTTGAATTAATTGAATTAATTTATTTATTGGGAATTGCAAACAGCTTTAATTATGCTGCCTATACGAGCGCGAATTGCCTAATTGACGCGAATTGTTCAGTAAATAAACTGCAATAACGCATGTTGCAGTTGCACGTTGCGCATACGCCATGTTCGCCGTGTCTGTTGTGTGAGTGCGAGTGTCCGTGTTCGCGTGTACGTCTGTGTGGGACGCTGTGTCCTTGCTTCGTCTGCTGCTGCTGTTGTTGCTGCCTCTGCGACCGCTCACACACGAGCCATTTCATGTAGCTGTGAAAAACAAGAGCGAAAACAACAAGAGAGATAAATTAATCATCGTTTGGCACGTTTACACTCACACTCACTCACACATACATACACACGCACACATAATCTTATGCACATATATTTGTGAGTAATTGTAGCAATTTTTTAGTGCAATAAATTGATAAATATTGGCCAAAAATACGTTCGATGTTTGGGTCAAAGTCGATAAGGCCGTAGCGCCAGCAACTAACAAGTAGAAATGTTAGAAGCGAGATTGCCTGACCAGCAGTTACCCTGTACACAGCACATGCATGCATGAATGCTTAGTATTTAATATATATACTAACAGACTAAAGACTCTGCTTCTTTTTCAATCTAGACTCACAATATTCAAAACGAATCAGACTTTTGTGACCCTTTCAGAGCTCGTTATATTGTTTATAATCAAGTGTTTGATGCTGAAGGGGCGGCATTTCAATTTTGACAAAAAAAAGAAAACCTAAAAAATTATGTGAAATATTCTTCTATCATCTTGCTCTATTTGTCATATTCTACAGCGCTCCAGTAGCAGCCTACTACTACGCTAGTTATACACGCTTCCACAGCTTCGATATACTCTAATTTGCACTGGGTACAGGGTATCTAAATAAAGTACAACAATTAATCTGTTGGCACTATCTTTAACGTTATTGTTGTTTAGCGTTTAGTATCTCGCTTTTGTATCTATTTCGCGTGCAGCGTCTGCTGCCTCAGCCCCACAGGATATGGCTTGTTTACGGCAAGGTGCCCCAAACAAATGGACAAGCGTGTGGCAACCGGCCAGTCAGGCCATTTAAAGCTTAAGCAAAGGACAGCCTGCAGCTTGCACGCTTGCCTTTTGCCTTTTGCCTTTTGCCACTTGCCACTTGCCACTTGCAGCTTGCCGTTTGGCAGCTGGTTGCACCCGACTGCTGTGGCATCAATCAAGCTATGACAACAATTTGCGCGCGGCAAGAGAACTTTTTCCATTTAATTGTCGCCTTGCCACGCCGCACACACGTGTGGCAGTTGCAGCTAAGTGCAAATTGTGGTAACTGACTGGCAGTTTAGCCGACGCACTTCATCAAAGAGCCGGGCGACACTTTAAGTGGACGCCTTGAGTGTTAAGCGAAGGGCTTGTCAAATTAACGCGACTCTTCGGGGCAACGTACGTGTTGTCTGTCATAAATGTTCAGTTATATATACTTGTATATATATATATTTATATATATATATATTTGTATAGGTATGTACTTATTTTTGGGTTCCTGGCCAGATCGTGCCTCGTCCTGCACGACAGCTCCCAGCGGGGCGTTTGGTTGCGTGCCGTTGGCCAACATTTTGCGTAAGTCGTCGTTTTGCGTAATTGGCTTTCGGCTAATTAATTCACTTCGAATGGTGGCCGTTGGGCCCACGCGGGAATAGGGTATAGCAATTCGATTGTAAAATGACATTTTGAGTATTCGCACTCGTAATTCCCATTTTACGAACAATCAGCAAATGGAGGACTCTTAGCCTTTGGCCGGGCGTCTGGTATTGATTTAATTATAATTTGGCTAATACAATTAGCGCCTCGCGGCTTTACTTACTTGAGCTTTAATAAATTGCGTGCGAGCCATTTCAAAGAGTTTTCAGTGCCCAGCTTTGATTTGTTTGAAGTCATTTGATATGCCATGATGGCAAACGCTCTGAATGACAAGCATAATTAAAAGTGTCGTCTAGGACACCAGAGCTACATGTGATTGCCAGACGTGCGCGGCAAATCAATTTCTTGTCCCAGCGGACAATGTGCTGGGCCATCTCAAGGCTGCTGTTGCTGCTGCTGCTGCTGCTGTGCTTCGTCTATCTTTTATGGCTGCATGCGGCAGGCAGTGCGTATGTGAAATGCGCATAAATCATACGCCCCCATGCACCAGGCTAGTGGCAACACTTTTAGAAAACTATGTGAAACTTTTCGCCAGACATAAAAGAAAAAGGTTAAGAGAAAGACATTGTCACGCCTTAACTGGAACATGTTCTACATAAATAAAGGGGGCGGGTCCTGCGTAAATTCTGTCAAAATCAGCTGAAAATGTCTTTCACTCAAGGACGCGAGATTGGCTCCATTTGACCCTCTATTTTGGCCTTGCCTCGTTATCAGCATCTTTTTTTCTATATTTTTGCCAAAAATTACACCCAACCGTCTGCATTTATCTAAATGCCTTTCGCTTGGCTTCGCGTTGCACCCTGCGCCACAGTGACCTCCGCTGCAGCTCTTAAAGTGACTCACAGCCAGCAACAGCGATAGCGAAAGCCCCTACTCTCAGAACTGCTACTGGGTCGAGCTTACTTCTGCTCGTGACTCAGTTGCTGCGATAAGAGGGCTGTTATGCAAAACCGAAAGGTCACACGTAGCCGTTCTATAAGCATTGCGTGATATGCTGCAAAATAAACAGAATCGAACTTAATAAAGCTCTGTGTCAGTTTATCATAAAATGAGTCCAGTAAAATATCTACTTTCACTTTAATAACTTTAATGCTGTATTTTTGATTTGTTAACTATTTATTGTTAACAGTTATCCGGTCCTTAGTCAACTTTATGATTAGTTTGCCATTTACATTCGTTAATTTATTTGTACCTGAATAGCATAAGGAAACAGAGGTAGAATGGTATGTCTAGTGAATAGTATAGTGTAAAGCTTAAAGCAGCGTAGAGAGTAGAGTAGAGAGCAGAATAAAAGAGAAGAGTGGAGAGTATGGTGTAAAGTGTAGAATGTGGTGCAGAGCGTAAAGCGTATAGTGTAGAGTATAGATGCGTATATATGATTTGTAGAGAAGATGGTAAAGTGGATATTGTGGCATATAGTGAAGAGCAGAATATGACTAAAGTAGAGTCTAATGTGAGTGGATAAGATAATGTAAATGATAGCGTATTCTACACATAGTAATGTAGAATGTACAGTAGAGTATAAAAGGTAAAATGTAGAGCGTAGAGAAAATTGTAGATCAGGCTAAAGACGAAAGTATTTAGAATAGTACTATAAGAGCGTACGGTAGAGTCTACGTAAAGAACGTAGAGTCTAGTGAGAGTGGAAAGCAGCGTAGATAGAATAGAGTAGTGTGTAAGTGTGTAGTCTTGAGATGGTGCTAGATAAAAACGAAGAGTTGAGTGAATAGAAGAGTTCAGAATGTAAGTGTAGAGTAATGTGGAACGAAGGGCTAAAAGAGTATATTTTAGAGTGTATAGAGTAAATTGCAGAGTATATTATAGAGTTGGTAGAGTAAAGAGTAGAGATGGGCACAGAGAAGAATTTTAAGAAGACTGTGAATTAGCGGCCAAAGAGTATAATAAAGATTAAAGCGTATACTATTTAGTATTGTTACACCCTAATTCAAAACATTTTTCAGATTGTTCTAACTGGGTATCTAGTAGTCGAGCCAGACGTTACCTCTGCCTTCTGTCTGTTTTGTGCGCGGTCATCGGTCATCGACGTCATTTATTCCCGTTTAATTACTAGAAAATGACGCTAAGGAAACCAGAACTGAAATTCGAGCTCTGCTGCTGCATATTTTTTGCCCAGGCCGTCGCAAGAACTTTTCCTGGTTGCTGGTGGTAAGAGAAAAAGCGTATAAAAGGCAGCAAATTATTTTTCTATGTTTTTTGCTTGGCCTTAATTGAGCTTGGATACGCATTTATCTTTGGCTGCAGTTAATAGAATCGCACTCTGCGTTTTTTAATATATTCAACACCCATTTATTTTCCTTGCATCGATTTTATATTGCATCTTTACTTCGCTTTCAGCTTGCAATTAAGATATATTCCTAACGCGATAAAAGAAAAATCCAACTATTTCAACTCAAAATGCACAAATACAAAATTTATTTGAATACTCCCATTGATTACTTAACTGGTTTATTTGCATTTAAATATTAGTGCACCAGGTCCTGCATGAAATTGTCAGAGAAATTGGGTTTTTAATCCATAAGATTGATGACTTGTATAAATAGTTATGCTCATATGGGTATATGCCAAGTACGCAATATAAAAATATAAAAAAAATGACGCCTTAGGCGCATATTTGTGCACATTTATAGTATTATCATGAATGGGATTGCTGTACTAATACAGACATATGTATTTATATTCTGTTCCAATAGGCTATAAAGAGCTTAAATGATCACACGGCGCAGGCAAAAGTAAAGACTGGTGGCGAAATGGAATTTGGGTGTGGGCTGTTGATTTTTATCTACACTTGCAGAGGGTACTATAACATTGTCACGAATTGTGTTACGCGTAGAAAAAGACAATTTACATAAATACTGTGAGCCTAAGACTGCGATAACTTCTTGTCAACATTTTTAGTACTCGGAAACTTAAATAAATAAATTAAAATCTGTAAAAATAATGAATTAGATTATTGATTAAAAATTGGAGCCCAAGGTGTGTACAGTCTACGAATCGAATCATAAGCCGGATGAATGAAATATAAATAGGGCTTGCAGCAATATCAGGAACAGCTGACTTAATAGCCAGTTTCATATCTGAAACAGAAGCAATATTGATTATCGGGCTGACAAGTGTATAAAATATTCGACAGCCCCAATTGCCTGTTATATGCTGTTATCGCTGAATCAGAGCTGCATTCGGTTTTATCTATATGGGAAGTACGCATTTAGAGAAGTGTTCGCCCTCTCCCCTTGCTGGCATGTGTGCATCACGTGCAGACTTGCAACTGCAACTGCAACTGCAACTGCGGCAGTGACTGACTGACAACATGACTCGTTTAAGTAGCAGCAGCAAAAGGCCCTTGGCCCCTGCCCCTCCCTGGCTAATTTAGGTGACAACGTGTGCTGGGCACATGTGACGTGGTTCCCATGTCACATAGCCCAGCGCCTGGGCCTGTGTTAGGCAAATAAACGAGTCGTCTGCTGGCCGTAGATAAATATGCGCAACAGCGTGTAGAACGGTGAGTAGCTGGCGGACAACTGGGGCCAACATGTGGCCATTACGACTTTTGGCAATTGCT